AATGTCAATATAGCATGCAGTTTAATTTACCGATGTGTATTGTTAAATAATGTACATATGTAGCAATGAGAGTAACGCCTATTTCTTTGCCTGTCAGTAGCCCGTAACTATTCTTTCGTTTCTCGATATATTCCTTATAATTATATATACCTGTTAATAGGTTGTTATTTAATTATTAAATGCCTTATTAGTCACAAGAGTTTAATATCGACTGTAACATCTCATTCCCTTGTTAATAGGTTGTCATTTAGCATTTTTTCAGCTTAATCCCAGTGTTTATTTTTGGGTACCATCTAATTTCACACCCAAATACGTTAATCCTAAGCCGAGCATCCTTATTAGACGGGGCGACTGCCCGTCCGTCTCCGTGAAGATGAAGGTTGGTTTTACGAAGCGTGTAATATGGACATGCCATTATCTTTTAAGTTAATATACATGTGCTTTTAAGCCTGTTTACGCCTACTTCTATTAACTGTGTTTACACTATCAAAAGTTTCTGTGATCAGAGTAGGAATATTGCTTAGTATAGGGCTTCGGTGGCAGTGCTTCCACAACTGCTTGTCCAAAATTCCTTTTTTCCCACAAAATTTCTTTTTTCCCACAAAATTTCCTTGCCACCCAAACAGTGGAAAAAATCAAGAAAATTTGAGGCAAATGTATCATAGACCCTACGAGAAATCGAGCATCATCACATTGCCTGAAAATTCGGGCAAGCTTTCAAGAGTTCCCTCCATGAAAGTATCTGCTCTACATATATGTTTATGTTCATCCAGGGGCGTAAGGTGCTTGATAACGGTGAAGGGGTGGAATGGCAGAAGGTGCTGAACGGCAAATTTTGAAATTTATAGTCCCTAGATCGCCGGAAATGGCATTTTCAGATTCTTCTGTACCTCTTTTGTTAGACCTATACTATTTATAAGTTGATTTTTACTCGGGTTTAAGACTTGTAACTGGCATAAGTTACAGAAATCCTTGCAATTTCCTTTAATTTTTGTATTTTTCCTTGCCATTTGCTTGTAAATTTTATTTTCTTGTAAATTCCTTGCAAGGACCAATATTTCCTTGCTGCAGGGAAAAATCCTTGTAAGTGGAAGCACTGTTCGGTGGCGAAGTGGTTAGCGCACTTGCCCTTCACCCCTAAGGTCGCAGGTGCAAATCTCAATGAGGACTTTCCCAATGCGACTCGAACCCAGTCCTCATGTGGAAAGAGTAAAAGTCGACGCCCTGCCGAAAGTCGTGGGTTTTGCCCCGGGTATTCCGGCTCCCTCCCACAGGGAAAGTTGACAGGGTGGGTTAGGCAAAAAAGGCCCCACAGTAATCGGCATGTGCTGTTGTGGTGACTCTGCCATAGTTGGCACTGAAAAGCCGAACAGACAAACAAATTGCGTAGGTAAATTTTAAGTTTTGAAGGATTTGTAAGAAATGTTTGAAGCAACTGACTCTGTGTTTAACACTGCATGGGAATTAATGCTCCCCGAGAAAATCCTGAATATTTACATCATCAGGAAGCCCTGAAATGCAACTAAAATTTTGCAATGGACCTTTCCCCTTATAACTAAAATTTTGATCTAGACAAGTCTAGATAAAAATTTCATCACAGCTTGAAAGAGCATCACAAAATTAGTAATATTCCAAAGTTTCGTTGCGCAATATTGTAAAATGCGGATAATATTGCCCTGCGAAGTTTGCCGTTTTTCAGTCATTTTAGATTACAAACGGGAAATTGATGCACCAACAGCCGATTGGGCTGTCAATTTCCCGTTTGTAATACAAAATGACTGAAAAACGGCAAACTTCGCAGGGCTATATTATCCGCATTTTACAACATTTCGCAACGAAACTTTGGAATATTACTAATTGTGTGACGCTCTTTCAAGCTGTGATGAAATGTTTGTCTAGATCAACATTTTTGTTATAAGGGGAAAGGTCCATTAACACCTCTAAATTTGCCTGAAAATATTGGGCAGGGGCCCTACATCGCCCCCCCCCCCCCATCGTTACATTGTAATTAATTTATATCACTAAATTGTTTCGTTACAATATACATTATTGTATAGCAATAATCTGGTTCATTAGCTGATGATGGTATCATTTCTACATCTCAATTGAATTTAACAAATTACCACATGATACAATCTAATCAACATTCGTATCAACTCTATTTTGTAAAAAAAATATTTGCTTTCTTTTCAAAAACACTTAGCGACATATCATCCACAAAAGCCTTATATACGTATGGTATATATTTATGCAAACAGGTGTAATAAGCTTACAAAGTCTAAATAAACATCACGAGATCCGATGCAAAAACAAAACAAAAAATAAGTTTTTTACTGCATGGATATATAGCTTTATCTGTTCTTGTAGTAATAGCTATAATGTTCAATAAGGGGCTGTGACTTACAGAGTGTCAGAGGCGAAAGTATGGCCACTTTATACGAGAGCTACCTGCAATTAAGTTCAGATGAATGAATACCTAGGCCTCGTTTGTCACTATAAACGGAATGTGGAGACGATGATATTGTGCAATTCACTAGCATGCCCCCATCCGAAAAATTAGTTGTGTTTTCTGTGGTATTTGCAATGGCATTTCCTGCATTAGAAAATGACAAGAGGTATTAAATGATTGGAAAGCGTGCGCTGTTGGAAAATATTTGCTTATTTGACCCTTAAACATCACATGTAGTGTTGGTCACCACTCCTGCCTTTCAAGATGGAAGACAAGGGGTTCAATATCCTTCGCAGGACTGACCTCTATTCAAGGTCTTTAAATAACTGAGGAAAAGAGCTACATTTATATACATTGACATTAGTATTTTAAATGGTTAGACTTTCGCGTCCTATCGATCGGATAAGGACGTTAAATCGTAGGTATCTCGGATCCCCTATCAATTGGGCAATATTATTCTCTGTTGCATGGAAATCCGCGCTCATCAATGAGTGAGGAACTCAGTAAACTAAACTAAACAATTTTTCATCGGATTAAAGAACAGATACTAGTCTTAAATCGTATTCCCTGCATTCAGAGATGTAGAATTTGATCAATGATTATCATTTTCCTTGAAAAAACATGATATTTATACAATCCAGCCGTGAAGTACCTGGAGTTCAGTGCATGCCTCCCCACGGGTAAACAGTTAGACTTGGCAGCTCTGCTGTTGATTATAAAAATACCCTTGCGCATTAAGTCTTAGTTAACAATTCAGTCATTATCTGATTGACTGATAAAGATGCATGATGCGTTCATCTCAGTATACATACACCGGTACTACGCTTCAGAACGTTAAGCTTTGTTTTATCCATGTTTAGACAGAGCTTGTCGCCAGTCTGGGAGGCTGGTATAGGATTAAAACATCCAAGTTCAAACTTCAAAGTAAATAGCATGTAGTTTTATATAAAACAAAATCATCACAGTCTTAGACCGATGCCCTATGCCTATACCCTATGGCTATACGTTAGTTGTTTTCGAATGGTATTTTGGACGCATAATCCTTTACATAAATATATATTAATGCATCAATATCCGCTTCGAACCGGGCGCAATTTAATGTCGTAAGCCGATTAGCATTGCAATAAAAACAGTTTTAACTCAGTACATTAGCTTATAATGCCTTAACAGGTCTGACTTGTGAGAAAAGGATAGCCCGGCTCTTCTATAGGGAATAAGGCAAAATCGCAAAAGAGTCTGCCGATAGATCAACGATGGGATATCGGTTGATTAACGATTAATTAACAATCGACTGAGTATACTGATGATATACATTAACGATCAATTATCGATAGTGGAATAATAAAGTATAACAATGGATTGATCAAATTGATGATATCAACGATATAGAAGATATAGATAACTAAAATCAACAATATACGTCTATTAGACTTGATCAACGATAGGATTACCAAATAATTCATTACAGTTCAATAATACTTGATATGGGAACAAAATTAATTGCCCCCCTCCCCCCTTCCAAATCTTCGAATCAAATTTTATTTTACATCAGTAATGAGTATACCTTTAATGATGTAAAGATACCCTCGTATATATAGTATATATAGTCCGTACATGTATTAATATAAAAATCATTTTCAGTTTATATATAAACTCGTTTGTATATATATATAATAGCATTAAGAATTATACCTCATAAGCTCGAATATACTTCAGTTAATTCCTGAGAATGAAACACTCTTGCGACTTGTATAACTTTCATAATTTATCTATTTCTTTTTCGTCATCAGGAATACTTGAACTGTATTCGGTTTAGCGAGAGTCGTAAGCTAATGTCTGGCCTTTCGCAAGATCAATGTTTATATATTTACCATGAATCTTGTGTTTGCTTTGCTGTTAAGCTTTATATACAATGTTGTTTTTGAAACCCATTTGTGGTAAAACCTCATCAACTCATCTTTCGTCACGAAGCTATTGTGCCAAGCCGCTTGAGTTCGTCATTTCTCCCACTTGGTATATTTGTTTTATTCAACTACCAGCTGAGCTGGAATAAGCATATATATAGGGTATATATTATCCGTGGGAATATAATAGTGTGACGAAGTTATAGTGCAAGGGAACGTTATAGTATGGAATCCGATACTGGAAGAGAAGTTATCTTATGATTCGTTTTGCAAAAAGCTTTCTTCATCGACCTTTGGCTTTAGAAATTAGTTGTCTTGTTTAAATCTTGTAAATATTGATATCTTCTAACATGTAAAAATATGTAACTTGATAGATTTTTAAAGATATATAGTTATTCTTGATAATTTATGTAGTAACTTGTAATTCGGCATTTGCTGCAATACGTTTTTTCGAATAAACCTATTATTATTAAATTATTAAAGGTGATCTACAGTCCGTATGTAAACAAAGCCTTTGTTTACATTTTTGCGTCCAAAATATTGAGCTTTATTCGACAACTATTTATATTTTCAAGCTTCTAGAGTATAATAAATGATCAAGAAACAACAATCAGTCTTTGCAAGAACCCAAAACATAGTTAAACTGTTTGTATCATAAAAAGTGGGCTCATTTGTGCACATGCGCAGATCGGACTGTAGATCACCTTTAAATCTATTGTTTAGTTAATATACCTTATCATATCATGATTTTTCTGTGTTGGTGTAATGTACTCAGGTGAATATGATGCTTGTGATGTTACTCTGAGTGTATATCCTGTCCCACACCGGGCAAGCTTGAAAAATATGCCTGACCACGTTGGGAATCGAACCTACGACCTTTGGAATACTACGTATTCCAAAGTCTTCCAAAGTATACCTAGTATACTAGTATACCTAATACTACGTATTAAGTATACCTATAGTATACCTAATACTACGTATTCCAAAGTATTCCAAGTATACCTAGTATTCCAAAGGTCGTAGGTTCGATTCCCACCGTGGTCAGGCATTGTTTTTCAAGCTTGCCCGGTGTGGATATACACTCAGAGTAACATCACAAGCAACCTTATTATATGTTGAAATAATGAGTATAGTATAATGTTTAAATAAGTTTAGTGTATAAATTTGTATTTTGTAACACATGCACCTCCTATAGGTCTGTTACCTTTAATATGTGTTTAATTAAAGTGTTACTCAAGAAATGAAACAGCTTAATTAATAAACACATTAATGCTAAAGTAAATAGTTTAATGTTTCAGGAACTTCTATATTATAGTAATCCGGGAATCTCTGCCATCATCAGTGCGAAATCGCAGGGTCGTAGGTTCGAGATTCCTGCCAGAGGCCCTAGGCTATATGGTTGTATTTTGCAGGAATTGAACCTACGACTCTGCGATTCCGGTGCAGCGCTCTAACCATCTGAGCTACAGAGGCCAGTTGTCGAGCTCTGACCACAAATTCATGTACAGTCGACAACTCTGAATACTAAACGTGAACTATTTCCCTCAGTATTATCTCAAACGTGGTGGTTCAGTGTATAGTATTCTACAATAAGCTGTCGTGGTTTGTGTCTGAACTACCTGAAAAATATATCTCAAACGTGGTGGTGTAGGTAGTATTCTACAATAAGCTGTCGTGTTTGTGTCTGAACTACCTGAAAAAGATATCTCAAACGTGGTGGTTCAGTGTAGGCAGTATTCTACATTAAGCTGTCGTGGTTTGTGTCTGAACTACCTGAAAAATATATCTCAAACGTGGTGGTGTAGGTAGTATTCTACAATAAGCTGTCGTGGTTTGTGTCTGAACTACCTGAAAAAGATATCTCAAACGTGGTGGTCCAGTGTAGGTAGTATTCTACAATAAGCTGTCGTGGTTTGTGTCTGAACTACCTGAAAAAGATATCTCAAACGTGGTGGTGCAGTGTAGGTAGTATTCTACAACAAACTCATTAAGCTGCCGTGGTTTGTGATGTAGAGACGTGTAGTTTGAGCAGAAACCACGACAGCTCCATGTATATTTCTTTCTACCCTTACCGATTGTATGTCAGCGCCTGTGTAGATTGAATCGATCCTTTGTAAACAAAGTTCACTCCTTATCTTTCAATTGTCCAGTTAATACTCCATTTTCGCGAGATATATTCAACAAGTGACTCTTTAAGACCCTTTAACAAGCCTGGGCTGTGTTTGAAAGCGACGATAAGACAAGAATATAGCCGAAACAACGCAGTTAATCTTCAAACAGACTGTGGTATGCGTGCGGGTATGTTTTTGAGTGTTCTCGCTATCTGGGAGAGTTTGAATGACAGTGTATGCATGGAATGAAATAAAATTAATTGAGGTTATCTTCCATTAATTTGATCTTATCTTGTTGGTCCGGAACTGGCTGACGTTTACCAGATGTTGTTGTGAAAATTGGTTTGACATTTGTTGGGTTCATTCCATATTTTTTGGGAGCTCATATGTTTGATATTTGTAATGTAACTTTATTTATACTGGATAGCTCCATCAGTTCTAAACTGTTTTTCCTAGAGGTCCAATATAAGGATCATCTCAGTCAAATTACCTGACTAAACTAACTTTATTTATACTGGATAGTTCTATCAGTTCTAAACTGTTCTTCCTAGAGGTCCAGTAAGGGTCATGAGGTTCCTCCTGTAGTATAACTGGATCAATAAGAGATGACCGGGTCATCTCTTATTGATCCAGTTATACTACAGGAGGAAACCTGAACTAAACTAACTTTATTTCATACTGGATAGCTCTATCAGTTCTAAACTGTTCTTCGTAGAGGTTCAGTAAGAATCATCTCTTATTGATCCCGTGTTAACTCTAAACTAAACTAACTTTATTTATACTGGATAGATCTACCAGTTCTAAACTGTTCTCCCTAGAGGTCCCGTAAGGGTCATCTCTTGTTGATCCAGTGTTACTACAGGAGGAAACCTGAACTAAACGAACTTTATTTATACTGGATAGCTCTATCAGTTCTAAACTGTTCTTCCTATACAGGTCCACTAAGGATCATCTCTTATTGATTCAGTGTTACTACAGGAGGAAACCTAAACTAAACAAACTTTATTTATACTGGATAACTCTATCAGTTCTAAACTGTTCTTCCTAGAGGTCCAGTAAGGATCATAATGACTCTTATTGATCTAGTGTTACTACAGGAGGAAACCTAAACTAAACTAACTTTATTTATACTGGATAACTCTATCAAGTTATAAACTGTTCTTCAGAGTGCATTAAAGTATTAAACATCTTAATATCTTATCTAATCTTGCATTCCTGCTAAACAGGAGATGATGTTTTTTAATATAAATGCTTAAATGATTCAGTTCTTTATTTTCCGTTTAAATTTAATTAAAGATCATTCTCGACCTATTTTTCGACATATTGTATACATTTTCATTTTCAGCCAAATTTAGATTGACTTTCAACAGTCCAGTATTTTTTCGTGCGTAATTGACAAGTGAATGATATTATCGCTTTACATGGCAAAGTATTTCGCAAATGCGTCTGACTTTCAAGGAACTGATGAGCGTTTGTTTTGACAGATACATGATGCTAATGGCCTTGATTGAGAAGTTTATCATATTGAACGATCTGATAGATTTATGCGTGCATGTCTGAAATTGGTAATATAAAGGTCATGTGAATGAGACCTTTCATGCAGTGTTAAATAATCTCGCATGTGTTTTGGAGAAAAGTAAATATAGGAAACTTTAAGGTAGCCCACGTTCCAGAACATGTACTACATCTGTATGGTCTATGACCATGCTTAACTCAGCAGTGAGTTCTGTAAAACTTCAGATCAAGAGGTAGCTCACATTCAAGAACATGTATATAACTACCTCTATATGATTTAACCATGCTTAACTCAGCATGCAGTGAGTTCTGCATGAAATGTCTTATTTTCTTAAACGAAAGAACTCCTTAAGCTGTAGTGTAACTTATTTTTCAGTTTCTTGTTTTCATGGTTTGTTCCCGAGATATTTCAATTTGCTTGATATGTAAATGAGTGTGAATATGTCCGCTAATTTATGACGTCACGTTGGTTGCAAGCTCAACTTACACTGGTTATAAATCTATGAACTCTAAAAACTGTAGGTATCTGTTCACGTTTTTCAACAGTGTTTCCGATCACATTTACCAGTGAGTGAAGTTTGAAATTATATCTTGAATGATAGCAGTGATATTCAACCATTTTGAAGAGCTTGCAACCAACATGACGTCATAAATTAGCGGACATATTCACACTCATTTACATATCAAACAAGTCAAATTGAAATATCTCGGGAACAAACCATAAAAACAAGAAACTGAAAAATAAGTTACAGCTTAAAGAGTTCAGCTGTAAGTTCAGCTGTTTCAGAGTTCATTAGTTACAGCTTAAAGAGTTCTTTCATTTAAGAAAATAAGAAATTTCATGTCATATGCATATCTGATCAAGAACATGTACTCTGTATGATCTAACCATGCTTAACTCAGCAGTGAGTTCTGTACAACATCAGATCACTTTAAGGTAGCCCACATTCAAGAACATGTACTACCTCTGTATGATCTAACCCTGCTTAACCGCAGCAGTGAGTTCTGTACAACATCAGATCACTTTAAGGTAGCCCACATTAAAGAACATCAGTGTAAAATAAAATTAAACAAATCACATATTATTAGCACTGGTGAAGATCCGGGCTTACGGATCGAAAGCTTTGCAGTAATAAATTTACGTGGTATTTCCACAAACAAAACTATTATATTTTATCGCCATGCAAACATACAAAGAACTTATTAACATCAGTGTATTCTGTATGATCTAACCATGCTCAACTCAGCAGTGAGTTCCCACGGTACAACATCAGATTAATTTTAGGAAAGCTCGCTTTGAAGGACATGAGTAGCTATTTGTATACTATCTCATGGGAAATTCGAAGGGAAATTGAACTATGGATTGTTTCAGCAACTATACAATAATTACTAAAAGTTTAATCGCGGACACAGTACAAAGACTTGGAAAGAGCAAGCCTAAACATGTCTAAGTCATGCTGAGTATAATTGACCACTTACAAAGAAAGTTTATGTTAACTATTTAAAAACTTTTAAAGTGTTTTAGTACCGTTCAACCATTCCATGCCATAGGTATAGACGAGTTATGATAGTCAAGCTGCATACAGTGATCAGAGTGAGAAAATAGTGTTACTGATTCTTTTATAGTCATTGTATGTGTCTAGGTGGATTAAGAGATGCAGTCATATGAATATTAGAATGTTAGGGTTTGTAATCCAAGTGAGAATATATATACATTTTAGGTCTTAAATTCATTAGGTCTTAAAATGTATATATTCTCACTTGGATTACAAACCCTAACATTCTAATATTAATTCCACCAAGTGAAGTGCAAGAATCCTAATCATTGAAGTCCACCTTATCACAACCCGCACACCCGATTACCTATATATACATGAACTTACGGTTACAGCTCAACAGCTGACCTCTGTAGCTCAGTTGGTTAGAGCGCTGCACCGGAATCGCAGGGCCGTAGGTTCAATTCCTACCAGAGGACCTTGTGCTGCATTTTTCGCAGTCGTTCCTGGTTAGGTCTTAAAATGTATATATTCTCACTTGGATTACAAACCCTAAAATTCTAATATTAATTCCACCAAGTGAAGTGCAAGAATCCTAATCATTGAAGTCATATGAATACGCTTGTACCAACTGATTTCTGAATTTGCGACTACATCATTGCGGTAGAATTCGCGCTGATATCACTGGTAATGCTACAAATACAGCCGAGAAACCTGAAAATGTTTTGTGTAGAGCACTAGAGGTTACCACCAGAAAATTGAACTGTATTATGAAACAAAGTCAAGAACGATAGAATCATGATGGAAATGTGTGTGAATGTTATACATTTAGCTGTATATAAATACCGAGATAATGGCAATGTACGGCCAGCATGAGTAAATAGCAGGATTTTGCATATTTACCTAATGCACTCGTCTACTTTGGCAACACTCCTTATATAGTATTAGAATTTATAAATCCAAATTTCCTACTGGGCTTAAGTGTAAAAACTGTAGGACTTTAGGTCGTCTTTTAATAAAAGCCACAGCAATTGCGCACAGTGTGGAGTTTTAAGTTTGTCTTCTTAAAAGCCTTATTGACAATCTCGATGGATGCGCAGAGTGTGAAATGGGGTTTTAATTTTTGTTGAAATGAGCTTAATACATATAATGAGGATAATGTCTTAGTGAGCATTTACTATAGCCTTCAGGCCATTTCGTGGTCAGGACGGTTCGAGTAAGTGATATTTCGGAATAGAACAGAGTAACATCACAAACATATTCACCTGAGTACACAATACCAGCACAGAAATAAATCATATTACTAGATTACATTGGTATAGAAGGAACTAGATTCTGTTCCCAAATATCACTTACTCGAACCGTCCTGACCGCGTAGCTCAGCTGGCAGAGCATTGGGCTGGTATTCCAAAGGTCGTAGGTTCGATTCCCACCGTGGCCGGGCATATTTTTCAAGCTCGTCCGGTGTGGATATACACTCACACGAGTAACATCACAAACATTAAGCCAGTTGGTTCAAACATTTCTTCCAAATCCTATGTGATCACAGAAACTTTATATAGTGCAGTAAATCAGGCTAAATAAGTCGCAACGCTTCGGTGAAACTTATCAACAGATCATTTTAATACGGAACTCTTTATAAGGCGTGGCTGACAGTAATGAATTTAATGGAGCATTTTATTCCAATATACAATGATAGTGTTGTAGACATAAATCTGACTGCAGACATTAACAAGTTGTCAAACAAATTGGTAACATTGAGCATTTGAGCAGTGCTAACACGACCTGATACCAGCTAACTGATTGTTAGTATATAACCATTTATCACCATGCTGTTTTGCGGCAAACAGTCTGGTAGACAGTATAGTCTACATATAATAAGCTGTTGTGGTTTGTGTGTGAACTACCTGAAAAAGATATCTCAAACGTGGTGGTCCAGTGTAGGTAGTATTCTACAATAAGCTGTCGTGGTTTGTGTCTGAACTACCTGAAAAAGATATCTCAGTAGTTTATATAGGTAGTATTCTACAAGCTATCGTAGTGTGACAATGAATCTTCAGTTTCTGCAAGAAGTTCAGACACAAACCACGACAGCTTATTGTAGAATACTACCTACACTGAACCACCACGTTTGAGATATATATTTTCAGGTAGTTCAGACACAAACCACGACACCTTATCACAACCCGCACACCCGATTACCTATATATACATGAACTTACGGTTACAGCTTAACAGCTGGCCTCTGTAGCTCAGTTGGTTAGAGCGCTGCACTGGAATCGCAGGGCCGTAGGTTCAATTCCTACCAGAGGAACTTGTGCTGCATTTTTCGCAGTCGTTCTTGATCAGGTCTTAAAATGTATATATATACTCACTTGGATTACAAACCCTAACATTCTAATATTGTAAAATACTACCTACACTAGCTGGACCACCACGTTTGAGATATCGTTTTCAGGTAGTTCAGACACAAACCACGACGGCTTACAAGTCGTTATTGCCTTCAGTATTTTTATACTCAAATGATTATACACAATACTTCAAACTTCAGTGAACACGCAGATATATTAAATACTCTAAATTATCTTCATTTAACGATAACTTGTAAGACCTCTGAATTTAGGAAGCTTATACATAAATACAATTTCATTGTTGACTTACCTTATATAAGCCTTGCACCAATACCACACTGTAGAATTGTCAAACTCCGTCGGTAAAGTTCAACGTCCGGCAGGTTAGTAGCGACTGTTTAGGCAATTTGCATGTAAATCTCTTTCGCTACAATTTATAATTTCAATATTAGTCACTGTCGGAGCTTCTTAAAATGATAATTATAAGGTTATATAAGCATTGCAAAATTATCAGAAGACTGACTGTCGCTACGAACACAATTACGCATTGTGTTTTAAATGCGGAACCAGTAATTTCATTTGTTTAAATTGCCAAGCCGCAGACCTGCAGCTATTAGGGCAAAAGCCATCCATTGTCTCTCTCGACAACTGTATTCTTTATCGAAAATATTAATTTGTATTGAATTTGACACGTCAATAGCGACGGGGAAGCACTCGTCGAATGAATACATTGGAATCTGTTTTAACTATTGACCGATTCGAACGTTTTCGAATTTTCGCCCCATATTTGTATTATTCTATAGTTTATGCACGTAAAACGCACAAGTTGTTACAGGTCTGCAAACAAGTTGTTACAAATCTGTTCACAAGTTGTCGACAAGTTGTGTTCGCACTGCTTGTTCCCAGTTGTTGTAACAAGTTTGGAACAAGCTGTTAACAACTTGTAACAAGCTTGATGGCATTATCGGACTTTTTGCAAGGTTGTTCTAACAAGTCTGATACAGTCATGATATAACGAGAATGTTATAAGGTTGACGACACAACGTTATAACAGTATTGTTATATCATGACTGCATCGGACTTGTTGGTACAACCTTGCAACAAGTCTGATATTATCAACAAGGTTGTTACAAGTTGTTAACAGCTTGTTCCAAACTTGTTGACAACTTGTGATAAGCAGTGCGAAGACAACTTGTTGACGGCTTGTTGGCAGACTTGTTACAATTAAGATGTGAGATTTTTGCGTTCAACCTTGTTGATATTATCAGACTTGTTACAAGGTTGTTCCAACAAGTCCGATACAGTCACGATATAACAATATTGTTACAACCTTGTGTCGTCAACCTTGTAACATTCTTGTTATATCATGACTGTATCAGACTTGTCAGAACAACCTTGTAACAAGTCTGATAATGCCATCAACTTTCATCAACTCTGTTACAAGTTGTTAACAGCTTGTTCCAAACTTGTTACAACAACTGGGAACAAGCAGTGCGAACACAACTTGTCGACAGCTTGTGAACAGATTTGTAACAACTTGTTTGCAGACCTGTAACAACTTGTGCGTTTTTACGTTTGTTGACAAGTAAATTGTCAACGGCTTGTTGTACAACTTGCTACAAGGTTGTTGAGCTCAACAGACTTGTTACAAGTTGTTCCAACAACTTGTTATCGTTCTGCAATTCAATAAATTGTCAACAAGTTGTGAGTGACAACCTTGTAGCAACTTGATAAAATAACAGCATTGTTACAACTTGTTGACAAGCTTGCTACAAGCCTGTTGCGAACACATCTTGTTGACAAGTTGTGAGTCACAACCTTCTAGCAACTTGATAGAATAGCAGCATTTTTTCAACTTGTAGTGACAAGCTTGCTACAAGCCTGTTGCGAACACATCTTGTTGACAAGTTGTGAGTCACCTTGTAGCATGTTGATAGAATAGTAGCGTTTTTTCAACTTGTAGTGACAAGCTTGCTACAAGCCTGTAGCGAACAAATCTTGTTGACAAGTTGTGAGTGACAACCTTGTAGCAACTTGATAAAATAACAGCATTTTTTCAACTTGTAGTGACAAGCTTGCTACAAGCCTGTAGCGAACACATCTTGATGACAAGTTGTGAGACTTTTACTTGTGTGCCAGGCAAATAAAGATTTTTAGCAGACTGATCAACTCTCATGCAACTCTTGTTCTCGTTTTACCGGGGCATGAGAGTTGAGAAACTCTCATGCGAACTCTTAAGAAATGAAATATGTTCCCCAACTATATTAAAAAGACAAATTTATGATTGGTAAATAGTTTATTTTCCATGTCTATCATTGTTATTTGACCATTACATGTTGACAATTGTCGTTGTTTATCTTTCTGTGTCGTGATATAGTTAATAACTCGTTCGTTTTCTCTCCATCAGTAAATTAAGGACACAATAGCCCATTTATCTGCACTTGTAAACGTGTTTCCCAGACCAAGTACTGTTTTTTTTTTTCATTTCTTCGTATGGTATATTCATCCGAAACACTATAAGGAGTCAAATTTCAGCGCCCTTTGCCATGAAGTAAAGTTCTGCGAGGGCAACCATGCTTGCTAGTAGGATGCCAAACATCACTCTCTAGAAGACACGACAGAATAAACCAGTGTTAGTACAGAATGAAACCTGAATTAAATTAATATGTTGGTATCTATGATAGTTCTTTCAATTCTAAACTGTTCTTCCTAGAGGTCCAGTAAAGATTATCTCTTATTGATCCAGTGTTACTACAGGAGGAAACCTAAACTAAACTAACTTTATTTATACTGGATAGCTCATCAGTTCTAAACTGTTCTTCCTAGAGGTCCAGTAAGGATCATCTCTTATTGATCGAGTGTTACCACAGAAGGAAACCTAAACTAAACTAACTTTATTTATATTGGATAGCTCTATTAGTTCTAAACTGTTCTTCCTAGAGGTCCAGTAAGAGTCATCTCTTATCAATCCAGTGTTATTACACTGGGTAGCTATATCAGTTTGAAATTGTTCTCTTACCAGGCCGACGTATGCAAATGCATATTGTGAGCACATGTAACCAAACACAAAAGTTCCACCAACAGACAATATGAAATTCATCACAGAAGATAGTTGGCGACTTGTTGATCGAACTAAAATGGGATGCATCTATTATAAATAGGTTAAAGACAATACATTTCTAAAGGTTTGAATAATGCAAATCATTAAAAATTTGCATAGCATGACCTGTGGCTATGGCTAGCTTCACCAATGGCTGACTGAGCTACATTTGCAGGGTCAAAATCAAGGGGGGGGGGAGGGTCCGACTTGAGTAAGAGCTTGTAATCGAGCCTAGGTCAAAACGTGTTTATATACATTCTATTTCCTTAAATTTTCTGTCAACCAACCTTCAAATGCTAATGCTTTTTTGTCCTTATAAAGTAACTAAATGAAAATATATTAAAGTCAGTCATACTATATATAACACATATGGTAATTATACATTTACATAGCTCAACTGTTGGTAGTTACCTCTTTATCGATATTTTTCACCATAGCTCGATATCTCAGTTGGTCCTGCTTTGCTTGTAGTTTTTCCAGTCGAGCAACCAACTCTGGACTCTGGTTTAAATATTGAATACCATTGTATTATACTGTGGTTGTGATGATGATGATGTTGGTGTTGGTGATGATGGTGATGATGGTGATGATGGTGGTGTGATGATGATTGTAATCAATGATCATGATAATGATAGTGATGATTGTAGTGATGATGATTGTAATGATCATGATGGTGATGATGGTGATGATGGTGATAATGATTGTAATGATCATGATGATTATAATGATCATGATGATCATGATGGTGATGATTGTAGTGATGATGATTGTAATGATCATGATGATGATTATTGTAATGATGATTGTAATGATGATGATTGTAATGATGATGGTATATAATTACCTTCTTTGGTTCGTGAACAGGTTCAAAATACAATCCACTATCTTCCATTAGCTCGTTCAAGTAAATCACTTTTCCCGCTGAATAAATAAACACACTTAGAGATTATATACATGTGCGGTCTTGTAGTCCTGACTCTACCAAACACCACAGGTTTTCCCTGCGTAGTATGGTTTCCTCCTGTAGTAACACTGAACCACTTGGAGATGTTCGGCTCATGTTAATTCCTTACTGGACCTCTAGGGGGAGATCCTTTTAAAATAAAATTACTTTAATTTTCTTTTTGTAAACATATCTCTGATCTCTTTTATTCCCATGCGGATACCTTTTTTTAACGTTTCAAAAACTTTCTTCACCGTACTGAAAGGAATATTTGCGTCATTTCTATTAATAACCTCGTCAACATGCGCTATATGTCCATCGCTATTCCCTAGCTCACTCCTTCGCCAACTTTGAAGTTCAGTTTTCAACTCATCTGTCGTAGAATCCAACGTAAAAACTTCCTCAATTGCATCGCGTATACGATCTGTTAATATTACTTCGACTGGCATCGAATTGAATCGGTATATGTCGCTATTTTTGCAAAACCTATGCTATTATAATGTGTTTTTATTTTGATGTTTTATTTTAGAATTTTTAATGAGGTTGTTACGGGTAGTGGCGACAACGTCCGAAGACGTTCCGAATGCTCTACCAAACGGATAATATGCTAATGTCATAATTTATTTTGGTGAGTTTATTAGTTAATTTTATATTTTTAAAAAAACTATTTCAGTTTACAAGAGTTACAGCCGGTTTTAAGTTACCCAATTTTTAGGCACTAATTTTGGTAATTTACAACATAGAAAAATAAGTCCATCAAATGGCTTTTGAACAAATGTTATTCTTTTTTTTGTTAGGTTTTGTTTTGAAAGTCATTTTCTGGGCTTTTCTACTCTACAATATTTTGCACAAAGTTTGGTTTCCATTTGGTCATAACAGACTAACAGTTGTGATCTATCTTGTCTTTTGTGTGGTGTATACAAATCAGTTATTTTCCATGATATTTCGACAATCAATTAGCCATTCCAAAGTTGATGAGTGGACTGGGGACGAGTGTTAAAAAGTACCTAAATTAAGAAATGAACCAAATCACTAAAAGGACCACCTCAAAATTAGTAAGTATGCAAAGTTTGTAGACGTTTACATGAATACCCTTCGAATAATAAGCTTTCGAAAATCGCGATATTTACTGATGAAATGTACTGTAATTTTTGTTTTGGGGACGCGCGTCCCATCTTTTAATCAGTAATTTCACAATTTTCGAAAGCTTATTATTCGAAGGGTATTCATAAAGGCGATTGCTAGATAGTATACTTCAAAATAAGGTTTCCGTTTTTATATCAATTTTTAAAATAAGGTTAGGGGTTAGGTTAAAAGGTTAGGGTTAGGGGTAGGGTTAGTATTAGGGTTAGGGTTTAGTTTTGCGTTAGGATAGTTTTTCTACGTTATAAAAACGGAAACCTTATTTTGAAGTATACTATCTAGCAATCACCTTCATGTAAACGTCTTCAAACTTTGTATACTTACTGATTTTGAGGTGGTCTTTTTAGTGATTTGGTTCATTTTTAATTTGGGCACTTTTTAACACTCGTCCCCAGTCTACTCGTCAACTTTGGAATGGCTAATCACATCTGTCATTTCCTTGTATTCGCCTAATCTATGGCATTTCCTCGTTCCAGTCCGTATTTCAATTTGTCCAAACTGAAGACAGATTTCCTCAGACTTTTCCCCGTCTCAATTTCACCCTTCTTGCTCGCGTTTTCGTCTTTTGAACCTCGCTCTGGTTTCGAATTCGAGGACATCAAATCCAAGACCTTAGCCTCAGATTTACTTTCTGACTTTTTCGAACTATCCTTTGTCAAAGTTGGATTTTTTAACGACGAATCTCTGTTCAATTCCTTTATCATCGATGATTTTAGATTTTCTTTTGATGGGCTGTTCAACATATCAAAAATTTGCACGGCAGTTTTGGTTGAATTTAGAGCATTGGAAAGGTCCATTGCACTTTCCAAGTTTGTTTCATTATTTTTACTTGTTTTCTTGAAATTTTCTGGCTTTTTAATATTTGCTATTTGGGCCTTGCCTTCCGCTACTGAAGCGTTTAAGACATTTCTTGTTTCATTTTTTTCCGCCATACTGGTTTTCATGAGTTTCGTATATTTTTTCAAAACGTGTAAAACTCGTTTTAAAAATTGCGAGTTGTTGCTGTGAAGCACTTTCTTCTTGAGGAGCCCGAGGTCTACCTGGGCAGCGGCGAAATTTGGAGATTTTGTTGAGCCCACAGTGGTTTTGGTCTGAGGTTTTGTTGCGCCTGCAGTGTCTGCGGGTAGCGGTTTCTCCACGACTGCAGTTTTCTTGGTCTGCGGTGCTTGTGGTCCCGTAATATTTTCGGGCTCTGCTGTTATGTTATTTTGGTTCGAATTTTTTGTCAGTTTACCGTCATTATTCGCGACAGTTTTGTTGGTCTGGGCGATATTTACGCGTTCGCTTCCAGCTTGGTTGATGGCTTTTGTTTCTGGAATGATCACTGGTCGTATCGCGGGCTCTTCGTTGAAAGTCACTCTACTCCCCCCTGGCGAACCCATGGAACCCAGTTTCCTTGTCGGCGGAGCGAAGTTTGTCGGGCGATGACGTGATTTGTTGCTGACGTCATCGTCGTAGTAAATAAGCCCCTGTTTCATGGTCTTGCCTTTCAATGTTTCTTGAAGATTTTTGACCGATTTGAGAAACGTGGACAATTTGTGACCCGCGGGAGAATTTGGTGGTACTTGGGGTTTAATAGGTTCATTTAGGGATTCACTGTGTACAGGGCTAGGGTTCATTTGGGGTTTTATAGGACCTTTAGGTGCTTTTCCGGCCACTTTTTGTGGAAGTGAAATACCATTGATGTAATTCCGTTCAACCTGTGTTTTCTCGGGTGTTTGCGGGTAACTTTTGCTGCTTAGAGCGATGTTATTTCGTTTGTTGTCGCGGTATTTTTGTGATGAGTGATTTATCCCCGGTGGGATAGGTTTGCCGGGGACAATATTCCGACCGGGTGTTTTTGGTATACGATTTCTACCGTACGTTCCCAGGGGCAAGGGTACCACAGGCCGCGCGGCGAAGCTCTGGGGCAATTGTGCTGCTGGGCGTATTGCAGTTTGGTATAAGGTTGGGAGTTTTGGCGCCAAAGCTCTGGTGTAAGGTGTTTGCGGGTTTCTTATAGCTTGTCTTACGAAGCCGTTGCTTGTAGCTACTGGTCGTACTGGCTGTCTTAGGGCAGTGCTCATTGGCTGAGCTAGGGCCGCGTTGATTGGCTGGATTGCTTGTCTCAGGCCAGTGTTGATTGGCTGCCTTACTGGCGCTCTCATTGGTTGTCTTACCACAGGCCTGAGGACCGTTTGTCTGGCTGGCATCAAGTATCCGGTTGACGTACGCTGACCATAAGCTGTCGCTGGGTGGGTGTAGGTTCTTGGCTGGGCTAGACCATAGGCTGGGCGAGGGTGGACCGGGGAATATGCTTGTGGATGGCCAGGTGTATAGGGCTGTGTGTGGGCGGAGGGGAAACTCCTTGGTCGAGCTACGGTGTATACAGGATGTTGTTGACCATAAGTGTACGCCCTTGTCTATAGGAAAATAAAATAATGTAAATAGATAGAGTCATAACACCTACATAACATGAACTTACGGTTACAGCTCAACAGCTGGCCTCTGTAGCTCAGTTGGTTAGAGCGCTGCACCGGATTCGCAGGGCCGTAGGTTCAATTCCTACCAGAGGACCTTGTGCTGCATTTTTCGCAGTAGTTTCTGGTCAGGTATATATATTCACTTGGATTACAAGCCCTAAAAACAGCATTCATGAGAGATTATGCCTAGCTCCCGTTTGACATTTTCGGTCAGCTCAAATAATGGGATAGCAGCATTACAGAGGAGCGTGAGCTCAAAGGCTCCCTCATGCACCACCCCATGGAAAACCTGCACCCCTCCTTGCAAATGAGGCTAGATCCATCCCTATTTGTTTATGATTATTGAAAAGGCCAGGCGAATTGGGCGAAGCATGCTACCTAGTATATTATCTAGTGGAAATGCGTCATTCCTTGGTAGAAGGGAAAACTATTGTAAGCCCGGAATATCCTGTTGACCTGTTATAAGGGACAATGTTACTGTGAGAGATAGCGAAGGTGATACGTTTCAAGTAAGAGTAATTGTCTTTGTTGGTAAGTACTTAAAGTAGCAAACACTGCTCAGTTCTGGCCATGTTATCAGCAAATGAGCAAACCAATCTTTCCACACATACCTGTGGTTGGGCGTAAGGTCTTGGCTGTGTACTCGCGTAGTGTCTTGCTTGGACAGGGGTGTATGCCCTTGGCTGGACTGGATAGTAGGATCTCTGCTGGGGAGAGGGGTAGAGACGAGCTCGTTGCGATGCAGTCTGTGTGTGAGGTCGTTGTGGCGGACCGTATGTGACGAGCGCGTCTGGAAAATGTGGCTTCACTTGATCTGTGTTACCTATGTCAATAAATACTGTCATTATTTCGGTTCGGTTAGCAAGGATACTAAAGTGTACATTGTTCATTTTTATTTATTTTATTTTATTTTATTTATTTACTTTGCCATCATCATATACAGTGAAAAACCACAACAGCTCAAACAATTTACAATGTACAGTTATTAGACACACACAATAAACAACATTTGGACAATAGTCATTACAGGAAGTCCAGAAACAACATTTGATTACATTTGATGCACACACTTTTACGAAAATACGTCGTACGTATTTTCTAATGCTTGAATGTTGTAATTGAAAAGTAGTTTCCGGCCTGAATTCTGTAAATGTTCCGTTTTTGGGTGTAATATAATGAGGTAGTGTGATCCATATTCTTGTTGCTCGGATTTTGTATGATTTTTGATAGATTGATGTATATTAAATTTTGGTATTTTATATTTGTACGACTGGGGTTGGGTCAGATGATCTTGTTTGCTTTTTACTTTGTGGTTGAGGAGTTTTTTGTCAATAATAAATACACCGTAACTCGCCAAATAGACGAATATCGTAGGATCGATACGAACGGAAAATAATTCAAAATATTCTTAAAAGAAGATAGTTTTTAACAGCTGACTAACAAGATCGTAAAATCGTCTGGCATTAGACAGAGTAAAATAATAAAGTCAGCATTTATTTGTTCATATATGATCACTACAGGAACGAGCTGAGAAGGTCGTTTTGAACTATTAAATAACAATTTCTTGTTCAATGACTTTCCCATTGACAAGTAAAATCATCTGGCGTTAGACAGAATAAAATACTAAAATCAACATTATTCATATAGGACTTTCCCTTTCGACAAATAAAATCGTCTGGAATCAAACAAAGTTTCTTACCGTATACATTATAAGGTGAGCCATACGTTACGGTTCCTTGAACAACAGACACCAAAAAGCCAACGACAATGAATTCATACAACAGAACAATACTCATTTTTGCCTTTGTAGTGCTTTAGTCTAGGGTCTGTTAGTATATTACCCCTACATTATTTGGCTTTATTGCCCCTTTATCTACGTCAAAATCGAGCCGATAAACTTTTATTGTATATGACGACACTCCGTTATATGTCAGCTTCAATTATAGCACTCAACCAATTCAAAATACTGGAAAATCTATACAGTATCTTTTATATATTATTAGGGCAAAATATAACGACGAAAACGTTTCAAATGTTGCAGGTAAATGGGTAAAACTATTGTTCATTTCTCGTGGAAGAAAATTGGAAGTAAATGGATTTGCTTGAGCACCTGCTAAGTTGCAGGTTATTCATTTCTTGGGTGTGGCTATTTAACCAAGCGTTACCTGCAACGCTGATAATGAAAAAGCTAGCTAATTAAGACTACACATCACACGGGCGCGAAGTAATGCCGCTAGCCTTACAGTTTGTTTACAAATTAAATTAGCACTCACGTAAACCCAAAATATTTCAAATAGAGCAAAGAAATTTAAGTGAAAGGCATTCGTATTACTGTTTTGAGACCTGAGATGCTTGGTTTGCAAGCGGTACAACGGCGTTTTGTTGAATTTGTTCACACGAAGCCGCCAAGCGCGGCTAATGTATAGAGAATAATACATGGGAGCGCGGAAATACCAGATTTATTTCGGGTGTTGAACATGGTATCTCACGAGTGAGCGCAGCGAACGAGTGAGATATCATGTTCAACACGAGAAATAAATCTGGTATTTCCAAGCACCCATGTATTTTTCTGTTTATTATATAAACAAAATTCAGTGAAAAACAATAAAACGTTCGTGGTAATGCGTTTTACAACAAATGATATTTTCACACGTAAAAATATCGTATTTTTTACGTGTGTTTAAATACGATTTTTCTCAGTGGCCAAAAACTCTATATAACACTTATGTTTATATAATAAATATATTTATTATATAGTAGAGAAATACACAGCGAGATATTTTTCATTAGAGTGAAGATATCGATCACATGACTTTTCCAATTTGCTTTTGAGCGTGAAATTTCAATTTTACTTGCACTGAGTGGCCAATAAACAGAACATTACACGGTGGCTAGAAGATATGACTTTTATCTAATATTGTATTTGTTTTCACCACTCGAAGATCTAATAACCACCGTGTAATATCCTCTTTATATATACGTGCTCCCATTTGCTTGCGGCCATCTTGAATAACTAAGCCCGCGATCCCGACAAAAGGTTGTACAACTATATTGCTTCTTACATGAATTTGTAATAATTGTACCATGCCCTTGCAGAAAAATATGATTGAAAAATTTTATATTTTTTATGAAAATGTGAAAATTTGAACGAAAAATTGGCTGCTTAGATATCAATATGGCTTGTTATCTTTTAAATTTAGGGAGAAAGAGTTATTTTAGTACTCAGTTGTTGCCGAGATGTCGCGTTAAAGTTCAAAGTGTCAATTTCAGCTCGTGTTTAAATAGGTATGTATGTTTAAAATAATACAATGCACAAGTGATTTAATTTGTTAGTAATTACACAAAATACTATTAAAAAAAAAATTGAGGTAATTTAATCTATTGTCTCAATGAAATTGATTCAATCAATTATTTTGGAATGCTACTTTTCTGAAATTCAGAAAATGAATAATTCAAATGTTTGTTGTCTAGTGGGAGGGGGGGCAAGGGGGGTCTCACGAGTCACGAAAAACAAAATTTGATTTTCACAATTTTTAGAAACACAGAAGCGTAACAAAGTCTGAAACCATTTAACGATTTTCTAGACAGCAGAACTGACTTTACTGACTTTAACATTAGAGCCGTTTAAACAACTATGAAAATCATTGCGAGGCATTACAAAACATTACGAGACACCAAGCAACAGCTCAAGACATGAAGAAACTTCAAGAAAGACAACCGCAGGAAGCAAATTTATTTATTTTTTCTTCATAGTATTAAATTTGGGCCGAGTTTTAAACGTAAACATTCACAAGTTAGGGGAAATTATTGGTAAATTCAACACCCTAGCTAGCCTTTTAGCTCTTCACGATTCACAACGCGCATATTAATCACGATTCACGGAATGGTATTTCTTTAAATCACGAATCACGAAACACAAATAATTGCTAATCACGAGTCACGCAAAATACCCTTGCCCCCCTCTACTGTTTTTTTTTTCAGGGTCGGTGTCTTTAGGCTGAGTATTGGCATAGCAAAGGAACAGGGATTTTGGTACACTCGCCATGCCGACTGCCAAGTTAGCGATCCTGATCTTGCCTGTTTCAAATAAGATCTGATAATCATCCAATGCGGTTTCATATTCTCAAATAAACATCAGCTTATATTTTCAGGTCGTTACAAGGACGCTCAGCCAATATCCAATCTGGCTTATTAATAAACAAAACCCAAAATGGAACACAGAACATATTCACATTATCTGGCCTGGCCAATTTGGTTCGTTCGAAGACTCCCGAACTACTGTCCTCGAAATATCTATGGCTAACGTGCACGGGCGCCGTGTGCCTAAAAGCAAAACTTGGAATGGCATATTGTGCCGTGAAACTTAGCCACAGACAAAGGACGCCTATTAATCAAGCGGTTAACAAGACAGGCAGAGCTTCGAAGAAACAGCCGAAGATAGAATTTAATGAATTTTTGAAATTTCTATTGCCTGATGTATGGCTACTTTTACTCGCGAGTTTTTGTGCGTTTGGCGTTGCGGTAGTGAACGTTAAGCTGCCGTTACTTCTTGGCGAGCTCGTTAATGCTGTGTCCTCGTTATCCGACGGGAGTATTTCTGATTATGCGGCAATCCTCAAAGAGCCTGCGAAGAAGCTCATTTGTATTTACGTGACGCAAGGGGCGCTGACGTTTGTTTACATAAGTTTGTTGTCTTCGTTTGGTGAGAGGCTTGCGGCGAGGTTGCGCAATAGTTTGTTCACATCGTTAGTAAAGCAAGATGTTCAGTTCTTTGATGCTCATAAAACTGGTGAACTAATTAGCAGGTACGAGTAAAAGGATTTAATTTTGCTGTGAAAAGGATATTTTTTACATTCTCTATAGAGTCAGAAGCTCAACGTATAATTATAATAATAATTAAGTTACAGTCGTCCATGTGTATATAATATAATTTTTTCACACAGGCCATTTCAGTTACTTTTCTGCATGTAGTACAGTGTGCCCCCTAGGAAAATTCAATATTAATACCCACCCACCCAGAAAGTAGTATTGACCCCACCACCCACTCCCCCTGCCTTACTCCTACCCCACTCTTACCCTGCCACCACTGCCCCACCCCTACCTTGTCGCACTCCTACACTGCCCTGCTCCTACCCCGCCCCTACCTGCCCCACTCCTACCCTGCCCCATTCTTACCCTGCCCCATTCCTTCCCTGCCCATTCCTACCCTGCCCCATTCCTACCCTGCCCCATTCCTACCCTGCCCCACTCCTACCCCACTCCTACCCTGCCCCACTCCTACCCTGCCCTACTCCTACCCGTCCCATTCCTACCCTGCCCCACTCCTACCTTTGCTTGACTCTTACCACTGCCCCACCCCTACCTTGTCCCACTCCTACCTTGTCCCACTCCTACCTTGTCCCACTCCTACCTTGTCCCACTCCTACATTGCCCCACTCCTACCTTTGCTTGACTCTTACCACTGCCCCACCCCTACCTTGTCCCACCCCTACCTTGTCCCACTCCTACCTTGCCCCACTCCTACATTGCCCTGCTCCTACCCTGTCTCACTCCTATCTTTGCTTGACTCCCACCACAGCCCCACTTCTATTCCTGGCCCACTCCTAGGCCCTCCACACTTCTACCCTGGCCACTCTCCTATGTCTGCCCCACTCCTACCCCTTCGCACTCCCACCCCTGCCCCACTCCTACCCCTGGCCCACTCCTACCCCTGGCCCATTCCTACCCCTGGCCCACTCCTATGCCTGACCCACTCCTACCCCTGACCCACTCCTACCCCTGACCCACCCCTGCCCTATCCCACCCCTACCCTACCCCACCCCTTCCCTACCCCACCCCTTCCCCACTCCTACCCACCTCCATCTACGAAAAACGCTACAACTTACATAACTCAGTCCATTAACATTCTCAGGTTGAGTTCCGACGTACAAGACTTCAAGAGTGCGTTCAAACAGATTGTATCACAAGGTCTACGCAGCGTCACTCAGACGGTGGGCTGTGTCGTCACTCTCTTCATGATCTCACCAAAACTCACGCTATTAATCGGAAGTTTGGTTCCTACAGTCATTATATGTGGCACATTGCTTGGGTCAGTTTTAAGAAAGCTGTCTCGCGAGGCACAAGAGCAATTGGCGACTGCTTTGGCTGTTGCTGACGAGTCGCTTGGTAATGTACGAACTGTGAAGGCTTTTGCTATGGAGAATAAAGAGATCGGGTAAGCTCTGACGATTCTCGTCGCAAAGTCGAAGAGCCTTGGGTTTTTTTTCTATTTCTGGTCACGAATGGGTGAATGCAGCTATGGAGTAAATTTTGATCAAGGCAAGAAGAATGAAATCCAACACCACAGCTAGAAAGAGCGTCTTAGAATGAGTAAAACTGCAAAGATTGGTTGCTAAATGTTGTCAAATGAAGAAATATAGCCCTGTGAAGTTCGCAAATTTTGTATATATTTGTGTTACGCGCGGTAAAAAATAACCACTTTTGGCTCAAAAATGGTCATTTTTCACGCGCGTAATACAAATATAACAAAATTTCATGCATATGTCACGTCGTTGGTCCGTTCTAAGCCCTAACTTTCCTTGGGGGTCGTGAGCTAGTAGACCACTGCACCTCTCTTAAATATTTTTCCACCTCCCCAATTATTTCCACCAAAATCTGGCCTTGCAATCTGATCCTCAATTGATCCGGACTTAAATTTAAGAGTGCCGTACAAAAAGGTTTATCGTTAGCAAGGCTGTACTAAATAACTGTATGCTTACAGGTTATATACGGATGAAGTCGAGCAGTCGCGAAGACTTAACGAGAGACTGGGGATAGGTATTGGAGCATTTCAAGGTCTCACCAACATGACCATCAATGCTTTGTCGTTGGTTGTTCTGTATGCCGGTGGTTCTCTGTTGGCGAGCAGCGAACTTTCTCCTGGTAATCTCATGAGTTTCCTTGCATCAACACAACTAATTCAGAGGTGTGTAAACTAATCTTATTTATACTGGATAGTTCTATCAGTTTTAAACTGTTCTTCCTAGAGGTCCAGTAAGGATCATCTCTTATTGATCCAGTGTTACTACAGGAGGAAACCTAAACTAAAGTAACTTTATTTATACTGGATATCTCTATCAGTTCTAAACTGTTCTTCCTAGAGGTCCAGTAAGAATCATCTCTTATTGATCCAGTGTTACTACAGGACGAAACCTAAACTAAACTAACTTTATTTATACTGGATATCTCTACCAGTTCTAAACTGTTCTTCCTAGAGATGCAGTAAGGATCATCTCTTATTGATCCAGTGTTACTACAGGAGGAAACCTAAACTAAACTAACTTTATTTTCTCACTCGGATAAGAGGTTGACCACCATTCGTCAATCCATATTTATTAATCAAATTGCTCTTCAATTCTATAGATCAATGGGGAACATATCGGTCCTCTTTGGTCAAGTCATCCGCGGGTTGAGTGCAGGTTCGCGTGTGTTTGAATATATGATCCTGGAACCTAAGATAAGCAACCAAGATGGTCACTGTCCTGATCTCAGCACTATTCATGGAGAGATCGTTTTTAATCATGTTCGATTTGAGTATCCAACAAGACCTGGTCAGACGGTCCTTCGAGGTTTGAATAAAATTTATTGTATTTATCTTTTCATTTCAACCTATTCAATTGAATGAAACCGTTTTATTGTCTCGGTAGCTATGATATTACAAAGTAATAGCATGGCATTACCGTCGATTAGTGATGAAATGTCCCCCAAGCCTCGAGTGGCTTCGTAAAAGTAGGGGCTTTCACTAAACCTCTCTCGGCTTTCGGGTACATTTAATCACTAATCACCCTCAATGCCATGCTATTAGTTATAATTGACCATTTGCGTAATAGAGCAACTTTTGATCTAAACAAGTCTAGACAAAAATTTCATCACAGCTTGAAAGAGTATCACAAAAATAGTAATATTCCAAAGTTTCGTTGAGAAATGTTGTAAAATGCGGATAATATAGACTTGCGCAGTTTGCCGTTTTTCAGTCATTTTGTCAATTTCCCGTTTGTAATCTAAAATGACTGAAAATTGAAAACTTCGCAAGGCTATATTTTCCGCATTTTACAACATTTCGAAACGAAACTTTGGAGTATTACTAATTTTGTGATGCTCTTTCAAGTTGTGATGAAATATTTGTTGAGATCAACATTTAGTCTATTACGCAAGTGGTCAATTGTTGCCCTAAAAATTATTAAGCTAAACTTAAGTTATTGTCGCGTTAAGGTTTGGACCTGAGGGTCCCCGCGGGTAATATGGTGGCACTCTGTGGCCTCAGTGGATCAGGAAAGTCTACAGTGGCGTCCCTTATTGAGAGATTCTACGACGTGGACAGTGGCTCGATCACTATTGATGGATATGATGTGGAACAATTGAATCCTGCATGGATAAGAGGGGATTTGGTTGGATATATAAACCAGGTAAGCTACCGTGTAGTATATTGAGTCGCAGATATTTTCAGGTCGTTGAACAGGCTTCAAAATAACAGGAGACACAGTAATGGGCTCATTACATGGAGAGTTTTC